TTATTTTTTTGTGTTGTATAGTTTTTGTTGTATATATTGTATAAATATTTTTGTAAATAATATAAAAAACATAAAAAAATAAAAATAAAAAAGTTAATTTTTTGTATAGCAGTTAATTTTTGTTGTATATAGTGGTATAATTATTTTTTAAATAATATGAAAGGCATAAAAAAATAAAACATAAAAAGTTTATTCTATTTGAAATCTCCATCTTTCTACTAACCATCTCTTTCACGAAATTTATCATAGAAACCTAAAAATATACATTTTTGAAAAATTGAAGTGTTATTTCCAAAATTTGTACGCATTTTATTAATTTTTACATTGATAACCAAATCTTTTATTTTATTTATTAATTTTTACATTATAAATCATGTAATGTATTATTTTTCTTACAGTTGTCAATAATACATTTTAAATTAGATAATATTATAAAATATTTTTAATTTGTTATAATTTGTCTAATAAAATAATTATAAAATGTAAACTAATAATTATAATTTCAGTATATAATATTATAATTAGTTAGGTTTTAATAATTTTGGATTTAGTTAGTTAGGCTGTAATAATTTGGATTTTTTTAGCAGATTAGGGTGTTTCATTTATTAGTCTACTCTTTATAATAGTCCATGTATAATTATATATTTTATCTATGATAATACTATGATTTTTCTTTTATGTGATGCAAATTTAATGGATAACATAAGTTTATACAGGGAAAGAGCATCTCAATATTCACAAATTGATGAAAAAAATGAAAGTTAATAATGTAGTACCTTCATTTCTTATTGGATTCCTAAAAAACAATATTTATAATGAATTTTAATATTTTTTTTGAAGCTTTAATCCAACCGATTCAGCCGATTCCCTATCCGGATCACCGATTTGGCGATCCGGATCGGTTTTTGAGATGCCCGATCCGGATCACCGATCTGCTTTTTAAACCATTGCTTGAAACTATATTTCCACTACGAATCTTTTGCTAGCTCAAAAGGCATTAACGTAAAAAAATCTGGGTACTGCCTGATCTTTTGCCTCGCAATAGATTGGGTCCAATTGCCTTGAGGAAGGGTCATCTATCCTTCTCTTGTTACTGACTAGATCACGCTTTAATGCAGTTTCTTCAAACACATTGTCCTTGCAACCCCCAAAGCTTTCTTAAGAGTTACTAGGTATTTTCCTTTACAAGGCTCTTGCAGTGTGTTGATTAAGGGTTATTTGTTGTAGTGTTTCACAAGGATATTGCAGTCCCCTAAGTTGTTCAAGGGTCACTTTGTCTACTCCTTTACAAGACTGAATCCTTTCGCTTCTAATTTTTAGAAGATGGGCCTTCACTCAAGAATTGTTTTAAAATCGGGATAACCCAATCAACTCTTTTGATCAAATCGAGATATCTCAAATCTCACTAGATATAGTACTACACTACAATGATTTCAACACTCAAATAACATGCCCAAGATGCAATAACAAGTGTAATATAATTGAGAAAATATAAAAAACAATAAAACAAACAATATGAGAAATCTTCAAAGTACAACACTAATGAAAGTAGAGATGGACATGCACATATATGTGGTTGACTCAAGATGGGCCACGTCCACGGGCAAGATGGTAAATACGGCAAAGATGTATTCACTATCAAGAGAAAAAATTTACAACGAGTTATGTACAATTACCTCATACAATCTTCAAGAATGCTTAAACAAAAGAATTTCCTACCATAAAACTACTTATACTCGACTCATTTCTTCGACTCACCAATGCTGCAAAAAAATGCTGACAAAAAACGATGCAAAATGTACCCCAAATTGTAGTGCTAGGATTTTGTTGCAAAACCCTAATTTCAAGTTCCCTTTCTCTCTCACTCACTCACTCACCCACACGTTCCTCTCTCTATCAAAATCCTTTCAAGGGCCCCCACTAAAAAAAAGTCTATTTTTAATGACGAAAATACCTTTTAATAAGAGGAAGAATGCCATAGGGCAATAGGGTGTAATGTTTGATCACATCCCAACAAGAATAACTTCCATGGAAATTGTTTGTGCAAAATTTGCAGACCCAAGTACTTGATCCACCTCTAAATCTTCGATTCTCTGTTATATTGAAATAAACCCACAAGGGTGTGACATGGGATTGGAGACTAGCCATAATGAAACTTACAAGAATTTTACTTTCTCAGAACTTTAATCAACAACAACACTCAATGAACTTGCATCCTAAACAGAGGAAACATGAAAAAGGTCATATGATTGCGCTGTATTAGATTTCACCGATCAAGCTTATTAGTGACTCAGAGCATGCAAATTAACAGGAAAAATTGGGGATTATGATAGTTTGCAAAAAAGAATGAAATTCCTAGCCTTTTTGTTTGAAATTTCAGGGGTTTTTAGGCCCAAGAAAAGACTCAAAAAGTATTGTACCATCAGAAAATGCATGATCATAGGCATTTGAAAGTCGACAAAATAACTCATCTTCTCCCTCTTCAACTAGTTGAAGAAGAAAGCCCAGAGAAATCGAGAAAATATGGGGATTTATTTTACCTGGTTAAGTCTACGGATGAGTTTCCGGCGAAGTTTCACTGAATTTCGTTTTGGCCCGAACTAAGGCCAACACCTCCCTCTGAGAGAAGAGATGTATATAAATAGCTACCGTTTAAAGGCGCTCTGTATGTTCAAAATGAAGGGTTCAATTCAGCATCAGTTGCAGTCGCCCAGGCTTCCACTGCATCATCGTTCCAGCTTCAAAACTTCTCGTGCGGTACAACCAAACCTAATTTTCTCTCTCTTAGTCTCTTCTCTATTAATATGTACCAGAGAATCTCAATTTTTTCTCTCTTCTTTCTCATGTACCAGAGAATCTCAATTTCTCTCTCTTCTTTCTCATGTTTTACTTTTATGGTCTTCCATTTCCTCTGTTCACTCTCAAATTCTGTGAGCTGGTATTGCATTTTAGAGGTTAAAGCCTGGAGTATCTCCTTTGATCGAAATTTTTCTTAGAAATTCTTCAAAAAGAGTACTGATTATAGAGAAAAATTTTCGAATTTCCTTGAAAGAGTACTGGCTATCGTGTTATCCGGTGCTCTTGCGATCAAATTCCCTATTTTCTTCCTTTCTGGTTTGTGTGATTCGATTCCTGAATATCTCGTTAGTTTTGTTCATTTTCTTCTTTTTTATTTGATATTTTTTATGCATCTTGCTATTGAACAATCTCGCTGTTTAGGATTAATGCCTTAATGCAAGCCTGAATGTGTCTGTTTTTCTGTTGTTTTTCATTGCCAAAGAGAGAGAAACAAGAGTGAGAGGATAGAGAGAGGGGTAAAAAATGTTGTTTCCTTGATTTACAGAGAACTGAAATCTCGTTTTCATTATCAAACTAGAGAGCTGAACGTCTAGTTTACCTTGATCCAGAGAGCGCAAAAGGTGAAAGCCTTATTTTCCTTGCGTGTGTGTGTGTGAGAGAGAGTTTCATTGCTGAGTTTCGCAAGATATCAGTTTCAACTTTCACTATTTTAATTTTTAAACCTTGACTTTTCTCAGCCTTCTCCTGTGAAAGATGCGGGAAAGTTCCAGCCAGAGGAGGCCGCCATTAAAGATCTGATCCCTGAAAATAACACTCTAGCTAGCTTCTTACCAGAAACCCCAGACGTCAGCCCAGAAACCAGCAAAATTGCAGGTCTACACAAGCAAGAGCGGCACATCTCTATTAACCACGAGAGCAAAGAAGAAGAGGAGGTAAAGGATTCTGAGGAGAAACTCAAAGAAGAAGATGATGTAAAGGATTCAGAAGAGAAGCTCGCTTTTGCTGCATTTTGTCTTTACAGAAAAACTCATGATGGAGAGACAATGAGTGATTACAACACTGGTTTGGCCGTGGCACGCGATGCCCTAGCTTATGCTTTCTGGATGATGGCCCTGCTCCTGATGTTCTTCCTTTTCATCAAAAACCCTCATCGCTCTCTCTCGATCTGAGTCCTTTGGGCCAACTCCCACTTGATGGTACCTCTCTCTCTCTGTCTTTCTCTCTCTCTCTTTCTCTTTCTCTTTCTCTGTGTGTGCTTGCGTGTCGGTGTTCGGCAAGCATCCAGCAACTTGTTCCGTGACTTTGCATTCCTTTTGCTACCTCAATGGCTTTCAACTACCGAGTATTTTCAATATTTGCATTAGTTTATAGATATGTTTGGTTTAAATCAATTTTAGAGTTTAAAACTTCATAGCCAGAGGTAAAAATAGATTATCGGGTTATTCTAAAAATAATTTGACACTATAATCGACAAAGTTTGGAGTTGCCTCTTATTTTGATTGTGTAATGCTGGAACATCATATAAATCGGGATTGTATACAACAAACCGTTTATCTTTGATACAAAGGTGGTTACAACTCCCGACAACTATTTTGATGTGAAATTTAATAGCTTAGATGTGTCACACAGTTCAAGCCATTTTTTGAAAGTTTGAGCTTGGTCAATGAAATAATTGCAACCACCCAATTTCACATCTAATAGTCAAGATTAATGTGACCACCTTGTATCAAAGGTAAATGGTCTTTGTTACGCCCAAAAAATTCGTGGAAATAAGTCTTCCTTGTTGATAGACCTTTGGATATTTTATGTTTTGTTTTTCCAATTGAATTAGTCCCGGTTGTTATGAGTTAAGTTTGAATTAGTTAGAGTTGTTAGCAGTCTACCTATTTTGTTGGAGTCTTTGTGGGAGTCTACCTATCTTCTTAGGATGCAACAGATGTATTATCAGTTTATTTAAGACTCATGAGAATAATAAGAAAGGCATGCAAATTTTCACCTTTTCACTTCTGTGTAATATTGGAGGTTCTGGTTCCCTCGAAGTAACCTACAGTATTTCCTCTCTTGATCACCACCTAAACTCAAGATAGGGACAGGACAACAAACTGAATATAGCTTGGCCATACCAAAGTGGTATCAGAGCCTGACAATGGACCAACGGGTGGAGCAGATAGAGAAGACTATGGAGTCGCTCTTAACAGGCCAGACGGATATCTTGAATCAAATAACTGAGATATTCAACAAGCTCAGTACTCGTGTAGATCAAATAGTTAGTGAATATCTTAATAAGATTGCTGAAAATTCTGCAGTCCATATGGGTGTTCAAGATGGATGTCTAGGAGGTAATGACGGCTTTCAACAGGTCAATTCTACTGGCTCCTACTCATCTAGACTTGTGAAGTTGGATTTTCTCGGTTTTGATGGCGAAGAAGACTCAACCAGTTAGTTGTGCAGGGCCGAACAATTCTTCCATCTTCATGGGACACCGGTAGTTGAATGTGTCTCTTTGGCATCCATCCATCTTGAGAGTGATGCACAATTGTGGTATCAGTTGCTAAAACAAGAGATGATTTTCATCTCTTGGGAGGAATTCAAAGAGGGGCTTCAATCTCGATACGGTCCTAATCGGTTCCTCTATTTTTTTGGAGAACTCACCAAGCTGCAGCAAACCGGGATGATACAAAAGTATCAAACTAGGTTTGAAAAGCTGCTGGTCAAGGCTGTGCCTCTACCTCAAGCACGACAAGTGAGTTGCTTCATCAGTGGTTTACGGGATACAATTCGCATTGATGTACAAGCCAACAGAGCCCGAACCTTGTCTTTAGCCATTGGGTTGGCCCGTTTGTACGAGGCAAGAGACCTCTCCCACCGAAGGGCAAGTTCGTCAATTCCAAAAGCTGGCTATCAATCTCATAGTGCCACTACCACAAGTTCACCCACAATGCTAGTGAAAAGAATGACAACTGAGGAGTTGAATGAGCGACGACAGAAGGAGCTCTGTTTTAGATGCCATGAAAAATTTGGGTTGGGGCTTCGCTGCAAGAAGTTGTTCATGATTCAAGCGACCCTAGAAGACAAGGATGGCAACGTATAAATGGAAGATGATGGTAGTACTAGTGAGCAAGTTGAGGAAATACATGAGATATCTTTACATGCTATTGCTGAAATCCGCGCACCAGAAGCAATGCGAGTTAAAGGAAGTCTTCAACACAAGGCAGTCACTGTGCTCATTGACTCTGGAAGCACTCATAACTTTGTGAGTGAAACCTTGGCCAAAGCGGTGGAACTGCAGCCTATTTCAGGCGGCAGATTGGAGGTGATGGTGGCTTCAGGAGAGAAATTAATTAGCCTAGGTAAATGTTCTCACTCTCAATTAATTCTACAGTGAGTCCCTATATTTGTAGATTTCTATTTATTACCACTTGAGAGCTATGATGTTGTTTTAGAGACTCAGTGGTTGAGTACACTGGGGCCCATTGTTTGGGATTTTTCCAAACTACAGATGAAGTTTAGTGTGGCAAGAAAGGAAGTGGCACTACAAGGTTTGTACATCCCAGAAAATAAGGTTATTAGCAACCTACAGCTGCAAAACACAACTCGAAAGGCAAAGGGAGGAATCTTGCTACACTTGTTTTCTATAAGAGCCCCCCAAACACAACTAGCTCGTCCTCTTATGCCTTCACCAGTGCAGCAACTTCTTAATAAATATAAAGAGGTGTTGGCTGAGCCCAAGGGCCTTCCTCCCAGGCGTACACATGATCACAAGATTCCACTGCAGCTCGGTCAAGGACATGTTTTTGTCAAGCCATATCGATAACCTCAATTAAGAAAACAGAAATAGAGAAATTGGTGGTTGAGATGCTGTCATCTGGTGTGATTCGACCAAGTAATAGTCCCTATTCTTCTCATGTTATCTTGGAGAAGAAACATGACGGGTCATGACGAATGTGTGTTGATTACGGAGCCCTAAATCGAATCACAATAAAAGACAAGTTCTCAATTCCTGTGATCCATGAGCTCTTGGATGAGTTGAATGGAACACAATTCTTCTCAAAGTTAGATCTTTTTTCCGGTTATCATCAAATACAGGTGCATTCGAGTGACGTGGAAAAGACTGCCTTTCGAACTCACCAAAGCCACTATGAGTTCCTAGTAATGCCATTCGCCCTTACTAATACCCTCTCATCTTTTCAAGCGCTTATGAATGAGTTATTCAAAGTTTATTTGAGAAAATTCGTTCTAGTTTTCTTTGACGACATTTTAATACATAGTAAGTCATGGGCTGAACATGTGAAACATTTAGAGGTTGTATTTTCAGTTTTAAAGTCTAACCAGTTATATGTTAAGCTTGAAAAATGTCAGTTACATATATGAAAAAATATATATTTTTATAAAAATGAATCCTTGGTGACTGACATACATAGTTATACAAATATATGTAAAGCTTGAAAAATATATAAATATAAAAATATATAGTTATACAAATATATTTTGTCAGTTACATATAGTTATAAAAATGAATCCGTGGTGATTGACATATATAGTTATACAAGTATATTTTTACACACACACACACACCCACACACACACACACACATATATATGTAAAAATATAGTTGTATATACATATATACATATGATTTAAAATATGTATGATAAGAAAAGGAAGAAGAAAGCAGGAAAGAAGTAGTTTTATTCCAACCCCCACCAAGTATAGAAACCGGAAAGTTCAGTCTGCAGGGAATAAAGAAAAAAGAAGACAATAAGGAGCTGGTTGATGAACTAGCTAAAAGGCATTCAAAATTAGACATTGATGATAAGGATATGAGAAAACCTCCTATTGGTGAGTTGCAGGTTTTGCAGAAAGATCAAAGTTATATAGATTAAGAGATTTCTCAAATAGAGAATGCTTTTAAGGTAGAAAGCTTAGATATTAATAGAATAGGCTACGGGAGAAATACAAGACTAGTCTCCCAAACTAGAATGTATTATCCTCGACCCACTCCTGTAGACCTCCAAATAGAAGAAGATCTTATTTCCAGTTCAGTTTCATACTTTGGTAAGACTATTGTTAATTGAAGCATAGACGGTATGTCTGAACAATGAACAATAGCAATCCCTTATATGTCCATTTTCTTCTGATAGGAAATCTTTTATAATCCATTCTTTATCAATGATAAACTCTTCTTTACTTAGGATTGTAAGAAGGTCAAAGTCAAGCTCGGATGGAGTCTGTTCTTCTGGTTCAGTTTGGGAAGAACTAGGAGTGTTAACCTTGTACACAAGATGTTGGACTTGATTTGAAGTCTTTCATAGCCCTTCTAAAATTATTCTTTCATTGATTCATTTTTATAACTATCCCACCATTTTACCGATATTTTTTGGCATAGTTCTGAGATATAGTCCCATCTGTCTTCTTTGTCCTCCGAGATCTGGTATGTCCATTTAAGGATCTAAGGGACCTGATATAAAACCATAAAATATAGATGATAATTTCTTTTTAAACAATGTTTATTATAGTCAGAGAATTTTCTCTGTGATATTTGTAATTTTGAAGGGAGTATGTGTTCGCACTGATAATCGGTGAGTTACACTCAAAGCACTCTTACAAACACTCAAAGCACACTTAGAATGAACCTGGGCTCTGATACTAGTTACACAATGAACAATAGCAATGATTTCTTTTTTAATAGTAGAATAGTTTTGTTGAGCCGGGTTCTATATTTTTGAAGTAAACCGGACCAGCTGTTCTTGGTTATGAAGTTTTTGCCTCCCAGTCCTTGCTCTGAAGTATCAGTTTCAATGATCTTAAAGGCTATAGGACTAGACAACGCTAAGCAGGGTAATTCTTTGGCTTTAAGTTTTATTTTTTTGATGGCTTTGGTATGTTCGTCAGTCCAATTCAGAGGGTTCTTTTTTAACCGTTGAAACAGAGGCTTAGCATCAATTGCAAGATTTTTTTAAAAGTCCAAAATGTAATTTAGGTAACCAAGAAATCGTTGGAGTTCTATTTTGTCTTTAATGATGTCTGGGAATTTTGATGCAAATTCAATTGCCCTATCAATGGGAATAATTCTTCCTTGATAAATGTGATGTCTCATAAACCTTATTTTTGTTTGAAAAAGATTTATCTTTTTTGTTGACACTACCAATCTAGCATTCTTAATAGCTTTTAGGAATGTACTGAAATGTTTCCAAT